TAAAACAAAATGATCAGTAATACCCATATTTTTAACTCAGTTCAAATGAAGTTCATATACGATGATCATACTTAAAAATAAAATAAGGCAACAATATCAAACATGAATAATAAGGGGACTCGTCTTGCAACTTCTGTCATTGTTAACAACACAGTTAAAGGAAATAACAACTTCAATATAGGTATTTTCCTATAACCAGATCCTTCCTGACAGTACTTACAATCAGTGACAGGCTAACATTAATATTTCATCCCCACTTAATGTTTTCTTGTCACTGACATCAAAATACACATTTCACTGACTATGTGTGACTTACGATGTCGACTTACCACATGACACAACCCTTCATCCAAAAAAATATGAAGAGTTGCAAAATATTTACAAGCCACAACAAAAAATAACCTTTACAAAATAAACCACACGTGGACTACCAATTTTAACTTGGGTTTGGATTTCTGCATGTTCTTTTACTATGCCCAGGTTCATGACACTGTCCACAGTGGTAAATCTTCCTGTTTTGGAATTGGGATTCCCGCCTCCTAATTCTTGGCCTTCCCGAAGGTCTACTAGTTGTAGGTGGGTATAGCCACACTTGGTTTCCTATATTTTGCAGCATATAATCATTAGGATTAGGCCTGTCAATTGTCACTACTGGAATCATGGTGTTCCCATAAATCTTCTCTTGGGATGTTATTTTATAACAGTCCTCCACAAAATCATACACATTTGCATGAACCACCCTTATTGCAGCACAAGCGTGTGGACACGGAATCCCTGTCATTTGCCATGCAGCACAAGTGCATTCATGTGACTGAACATTGACATATAAGGCTCCACGCGAAGTATGTACACAGACCCTGCCACCTCCATAAGGTTCACCATGCATATGAATCGATCTAGCCACATTTTCCATCACTTTTCCATCAATGTTTGGACCCACACCATTTCTCCAGTTCCTCATTGCCACACTTGCTGCGAACATCTTCCTTGCAACCTTCTCACGATGTTCATGAATAAGTTGGGCAACATTATGCTGCCTTTCCTTTACAATCCAAGCATTGAATGACTCAAGCAATGTTCGTTGTTATGTTATCCCACCGTTTATATGCAAACTTGCTCATTGCCCACTTATGAATATCACCATGATTGTTAAGCCACTGAAGTAACTGAGGACTGAAATTTCCCATCCTTGTCATTGCCTTATCAAACTCAACGTTAACCCTTGCATATGCAATGTCATCAAGCAACTTTAATCCAACTTCCTTACTAATACCACTAGTTCTCCTCCTACCTCTGTATAATTTATTCATTTCAGAGCTGAAATTTTCCTTCACGTGTCTATAACAGTATGCATGACGGTCACCTCCAAATATTGCTCCAACAGCTCCTATTATTGCATTGTGACGATCTGACACAATAATTAATTGGATTGCACCAACTATCTGTTTTATCATGTTTAAGAACCATGCCCACTCCTCATAAGTCTCTCCTTTCACAATAGCATACGCGAATGGTAACAATTCATTGTCCGCGTCATATGCTGAGGCTGATAGCAGTGTTCCCCTATATGGTCCACTCAAATGTGTTCCATCTATGTACAGTATATGTCTTGCCCCAGACAAAAAACCCTCTATGCAACAACCATATGCTATGAAAACACGCTCAAATATATTGTTAACAGTTGCTACCCATTCAGCTACCGTCTTCTCATCGGTTTCCTTCAATCGTTGACATATCCATGGTATCAACATGTATGACTGTTCAGGCCTCCCTTGTATTTCCTCTAATGCTTTTTCCTTAGCCCTATATGCTTGCTTATATGTCAACTTCACACCATAATCCCTTGCCAAGGTCCTCCTTATTTCATTTGGACGCTTTTCAGTGTGATCCCTTACCTCCTCAATGATAATTGATGATGTCAAGGCTGCTCTTCCACCATGTGTAACTTGCATCATCTCTTGGGCATTATGCACATGTTCATTACTCAGTCGAGTTACAACGAGGAAAGGACTTCTCTTCGCAGCTACTCTTGCTATTATCCGCCAAGGACAACCTTCAACTTTGCATTTCACATGCACACATTCCTCACAATTTTTGACATATTTGTACTCGAAGTTTTCTGCAATACTAAACTTATATACTGCCTTTCTGAATTCTGTGGCATTTGCAAAAGTTTGCTTCTTTCCTAACAACAATTCCTTCCACTTCACAGCATTCATCTCGGGCATTGGTGTTGGTGCAATCTCTACTGTACTTACTAGCCTCACATGACATCCCCCACCGCCTTCTCTTACACAGTCACCCCCATTTTCATCACAAACTGTTCCGTCCATATTATTCTCCCTACTTGACAAAAAACACATTTGTTGTGACAATCCCAAGTAGTTGTCAATGCTGCATGCATAATTACAACTTTTGTTAGCAAATTCACAACAACAATATAACAAATAACAACTAAAATAACCATAAAAAAACAAGTCTCACATTTGTGGATCATCCATTACTTCCGGTGTACTCTCCTTCAATGCTAGATACACATGTGCACTAGTGTCATTATACTGAAAAAGATTATCAACTTCACTATCATCAACCAAATCTACTAATGCCTTATCATCGAGGCTCACTGTATATTTCATGTCACAAATATTAACATCTATATCAAACCATTCCAATATCATTAACCTCAACTCTTCGTATCTTATCCCCTGTTTTATCGTTCTAACTCTCACACTCCCACCATTGTATCTCATTTCACTTCACCTTCAACATTATTAACAAAGTTTCCACCAAGATGAAAAATCAACGCAAGTGTCTTTGAATATGTTGACCCAATATTGCAACTCATTCTGCATTATACCCTGCAACAAACAAGGAAAATATTTCATCACAATGTCATCTCTGTAAAAAGGATATTTCATAAACCCAACACAGCTACTTTCAAAGTTAACAACTTCAATATATCGTTTCACAACTCCACTTTAACTATTAACAACACCCTTCACAACCTCATTACTATGGATATTCAGCCTACTTATATACGTGATCATCGCAGCGCTTCTTCCAATTTCCCTCAGCTACCATCTGCTATCCCAAAAACAGATCATTATAAACACCGTCCCAGACTAAGCTAACTCTATCACTCACTACCCGACTCATACGTTCCATTCCCACAAGTTAAAAACAACAACCAATACCTCCAGATGAATCAACTTACGATTGCTGCAGCATCGTCTCCCTCTTAAGCTGACAAAACTAACTTGGCCAGAACCCTAACCTTATCTAACAGTAATCAACTCATTTGTTCAGATTGATGACCATTCTCACACCTAAAAAAGGAAAAACCAACACCCCAATATGAAGAACGTATGCCTTACGTAATGCCGCCCCTTACCTACTCTGAACCCTCAACGCCACATACAGAACGCAGGACCACCAAAATGAAGAAAACAGACCGCAACAGTCATGCATGGAGGATGAAACAGTCATATGATTCCAGAAAAACACTTACCCTTTCGAACCACCACGTTTTCGTCATTCACCTTCGACCTGCTGGAACGCGCACGTTTCTCTCCTTTCCTTCCCGCCTATCTTCCTTCGGTGTGCGGTTTATTGTGGTGCCCATGTGGTGCCCACGCTTTGTAATGGGTGAGGGCGGTTTGGTCTTTTTGTCTAAGAAAATAATCCGAATGGTCTGCTGGTACCAAAACGGAATACTGAAATTCGGCGGACGTTTTTGGGCTTTGGAGTTGGAGGTGCATTTTTTTCTGGCATTTTCCCTTTACAAAAACGACGTCGTGTAATTTAAAAAAATAAATAGTCGAAGTCGAATGGCACCTCTCTTAATTTCTTAACCGTTCATTCAGTCGTTTGATGTATTCTCTTTCCCTCCCAAAATCTGAAATCCCTAGCATCCTGGCGGCAGCCTCTCATCTTCAATCATCAATCTTCACTTCATTGCCTCAATCCTTCAATCGCTGGCCAGATATTTCTGCTCTATCACTACAATCTTCAACCTTCAATCTTCACGACTGCAACTCGCAAGTTGCCTGTTCTATTCTTTAATCCCAGTCGCAAGTCATCCTATTCTTCACGGTCATAGACTGAAAGATTCCACTGTCTCCTTCTACCTGTTAAATGGTAAATCATCTCTACGATTTTGGTGCTTTCAAGTGCCATTTTTGTAAGATTCCAGCAACAAGTATATGTTCTCGCTCATGAGAGAGAATAATTGGCTTTGTTCTATAGATATATGGATTAGGTGTAGAATAGAAGTAGGGATAAGTTCGAATGAAGAATAATTAAAGGAAAAGCCAACGAAGAAAATTCTAAGAGGTTTTCTCTGTTATCCTTCATCTCAACAAATTCTTCAAGCACAAAAGTATCAGACTAGTTAGCGTATCAGTTAGTATGATATTTCCTATCTTTTTTTTATTTTTTTTTGAAATAGAGAGTGTTTGTAAAATTTGTTGAAGAACACAATAGAACTCTACTAATTTCATTTTCATAAACCTTTGAAAGTGCAGTCTGATTATGGAAAGGGAAAAAAAAAAACTCTGATGTCTAAATATTGAAGCTATTTTTTTAGTTTTTATATTTTGTTGAGTGATTATTATTTTATTTTGTTATTGTTAATTAATTATATTATTTTAATATGACCAGTTTAATCCTGATCTAATCTATTAACCCTTGATCCACTATCTCGACTGGTTGAATGTCCAGTCGGGTTTTTTTGTTCCTTGAAAAGAACTCCCACGTTTGTTTATTCCCAGCAACCACTGCTAGTGGTGGGCAGCGCCCTAATAGCGGTGGTTGGACAACTTTTAGGGGGATAGCAAACCATTTTCAGAAGTACTTTACGAATTACGGTTATTGGATGTTACATCGTCGGAAATCTTCTTACGACGTTCAGAGCACGCCTTAAAACTGTCTTCTTAGTAAATCTACGACTGCCGCTAAAACTTCTTATAAGATATGCAAAAATGATAATAATACCTCTCTCTTCTTAATATAAGATCCATTCGACTAATTTAGAGAAATTAAATAAGTTACTAAATTACTTAATTATAGTATATATTATATAATCTCTTTAAACTACTTATGTGAATCATTAAATTATATTTATAAGTGAAACAAATTAGTTTGAAGAAAAACCATGAATATAAATAGAGAAATTTAATAACTTTTTTAATTTTTCCAAATCAATCAACCTAGCCATATATTAAGGATCAGAGGTAGTATATATTATAACTATCAAGTTTTGAGATATATGAAATAATTAAAACAACAAAGTGAATGACGACAGTTAATTAGCGAATAATCATATAATCTAAACAAGTGATCACTGTTTTAATAAGAGCCAGCTAAGTAATTTGAAAAAATTAAAAAAAATTGATTTAATTATTTGTAACAAGTGAGTTTCATTATTTTTCTTTTTTTACTATTGACTTCTCCCTTTCCATCTAAAAAAGTGCAGTCTGATCACTGCTTTCTTGACAGGAATGACTATGGAAAGCAAAAAGGAGCTATACTTCATGCACATCTAAGGTGGTAGGTTGTATGGAATTAACACCACCGGCCAGATACTGTAACTTGTGCTCATATTTCCGAAGGGATTAAAACCATCAGTTGCCAATGCAAAACGTAAATTTCTAGGATCACTGGCAAAGTCTAGAAATTTTGCATCAAATGTTTTCCACTCTTCCAAATCTCGTGGGTGCCTTAACCTGCCATCTGGATTTTCCTCAGTTACATGCCACCTCATGTGCTGAGCCATTTTTGATAATGTATACATTATTTGCAACCATGCTTTCAAAAGAAAGTATCTAAGGAAATAATGTATTAAAAATTTCAAATATCGAATATTTAAAGACTAAACAAGTAATACATTATAATCAATTGTATTGAGAATTCCAAATATCAAATATTTAGAGATGGAACAAGTAACACATTATAATGAATTGTATCTGAGAATTTTGGCTGGTTTCTTCTTCTGCTTTTTCCCCTTCTGTACCAACTTATAACGAGATGTCTTACATCTCGTACAAATCTCCTTGTTTGTATCATCTTCCCAGTACAACATACAGTCGTTTGGGCATACATCTATCTTCTTGTAGTTCAAGTCAAGCTTGTTAATAATCTTCTTTGCTTCATAAAAGAATGGAGGGAATTCAGCTTGAGGGAAATCATCTCTTAGTAATTCCAATAGCATGGACATTACCTTGTCAGTTATACCACACAAGCATTTGATATGATACAATTTTACCAAGAATGACAACTTAGAATACTTTGTGCACCCAGAATAAAGAGGCTTATCAGCTTCGCTCATGAAGTCAAAAAATTCCCTATCAATTTCATTTCTAAGAAACTCCGATTGACACCCCTTTACTTCATCTTCACTGGGATCCTCACTTTGGTGAACGCCAAAAGCATCATGCACAACATCGTTCACGATATCAGCTTCTTCCACTAGAACTCCCATCCGTGAAACTATTGGAACTGACTCAGCACCCATATTTGGTCATTCGCCATGTAGTTGCCAAAATACATACTCTCGCAGGAATGGCTTAAAGATCAAATGTTCTCTAACAATATCTCTGGGATGCCACTTCTTGAAATTACATTTAGGACATGGACACTGAATCTTACCGTTTACGGCAGCATTGGCGAAAGCAAAATCCAAGAAATAGTTTAGACCAGCCAAGTATTGTGGAGTCGACCGGTACAAGTTGATCCATGACCTATCCATCACTAATGTTGCTCAAATTTCATGAACATATGAAATGGGAAGCTCAAAGAGAAGTTAAAATGAATTTCAAATGGAGTACTTCAACTTATAAAGTAGGCTACCAACGGATAGATAACGGTCAAATTTTTATAGCGGTTCTAAACAGCTAGAAATTCCTAACGTTTAAAAACTTTTTCTAGCGGTTTTAACCGATAGAAATTTGAATTCAAAAGCATTTTTCTAGCGGTTATTGCTTTTCTAGTGGTTTATAACCGCTAGCAATTTCGAGGCGGGAGGGAAAATTGAATTTGCCAATGGTTATTCATTTTCTAACGATTTATAACTACTAGAAATGTTTTGGCCAACGGTTATTAATTTTCTAGCGATTTATAACCGATAGAAATTTCGAGGGGAGTGAAATTTGAATTTCTTTGTAATGGTGTGACTTTGAATTAGTTAACATTTTTCTAAGTTTTGTAGCGGTTTATAACCGCTAGAAAGTGTCAGTTAGAATATCAAATTTCTTCCAACGTTTGTAGCGGTTTGTAACCGTCAGAAATGTCGTCGTCCTTGAAAAAAAAATTAACAAAAATATTATTTTTAACCATAATTTATATTAAAATAAAATTTAGTTACTATTTTACTTCTTATTCTAAGAAATTCCTAAATTATATTTTTACAGTTATATCAATTTTATTCATTTCAACATAATTATTTTGGCGCAGAAGATTTTAACCCAATTCAATTTTTAGTTTCATGCAATAAATTGATATTTATTAAATAAAATTTTACAAAAATAATAAAATAATAAATAGGTATTAAAAGGTATAAATAATATATGTATGCATAAAATTTAAAAAACTCCATGATATGTTAAATATTAAAATACATATTACAAGAAAGAATTTTAATGTTAAAAGGATATATGTTTAGCGTGTTTTATATGGTGTAACAATATATTAATTAATAATTAATATAAATAAAATTATAGAAATAAATAATAAAAGTAAACAAATAAAAATTAAATTTGAATAAATATCCACATAAAATATAACATAATAAAATCCAAATCCAAATAAAATCCTATACATGGAAAACAGGGGAAATTAGGGGTGAGGGGCAGAAACAGCATCATCCTGATCGTCAGGCACTGGATCCTCCTGCTGGTTCTGCTAGGGGTGGGCAAGCTGGTGATCATACTGGGGCTAGACTGGCTGCTAGTCATGCAGGGGCTGGACTGGTGGCAGGCGTATGTCAGGGATCTCGAGAATCGAGATGTTTGGAGCGAAACTGATCACCACATCACGCATAGCCATAGCAGCTGCCTTCAACTAGTCAAGCTGTAACTAGAATTGACGATCACGCTCCTCCATCCTAGCCTCCATCTCTCGCCTGATCTCTTATAGTAGCTCATTTGAGGACGAGGAACCCGGCCGCTTCACTCCTGCGCTCGCCTGAGAGCTCCCCACAGTGTATGAAGGGCCAGTGCAACCTGAGCGGGGCAATGTAGTCGGTGTGGGTCCAAGACCGAGCCCACTAACTCGATCAGGGTGCTGCGCTTGGCCACGACCCTCTAAAAGTGAGGCAGTGGGATCCAAGGCAAACCCATGAGACTCCTGCAGTTCAGTATCGACCTGAGTTATCCGCGCCTATCAAAATTAAAATAAAAATATTAATTAGTACGAAATAATATTTATACTGCAATATGATATTAATATTTAATTGATTACTCACTGCTATCTCCTCAACCTCATATGAAGTAGGAGACCCGTCTCGAGGCTTGTATAGAGTCGGCCACATCTAGCCATAGGTAAGCGTTTATCCCCTCTCCTGTCGCGTCTTTTCCCTTTGTAAATGAAATGAAATAAATTATTAATTACAAATTAAATACATATACACATTTAACAAATTCTTTTCAAGTACTTACAGTCTCTTCATAGGCGATAGCAAAGCTCCTGGATCCAGCCCTATGACATATTGTCTGCTACCTGACGCTCCTAGTATTTCTCTGGGAAAGAGCCTAAACAAAATGTAAAAAAATTAAATTAATCAAATTAGACAAAAAATAAAAAATTATAATTAATGCAATACTATCATACCATCGGGTTAGCCGACATCCTAAAATAAACATAACTCGACCAGTCTTGCTCCTACACTCCACCAGGTATATCTGCCAGTATCTCCTGCAGGGGCCTCGGTCACCTTTCTTCTCCCGTCATAGGTCAGCCCTCCTATTTTTTCATGCCACCCCAAGTCTCTTGATCGTATCCGCCTTCAACTCCCCTCCGAGTATAAATTTACTCTGTAATTAAAAAAATAAAGACTTATATTCATTTTGCTAATATAAATAAAAAATAAATTAAATAAATAACAAATTATAATCAAACAATTAAGCAATTTAAAAAAAATATATATTCATTTAACTAATTTAAAAATATTATAAATAAAAAATAAATTACATCAATAACAAATCATAATCAAATAATTAAGTAATTTAAATAAAAATATATTTTCATTCAACTAATTTAAAAAGATTATAAGTAATAAATTAATGAAATAAATAACAAATTATAATCAAACAATTAAGTGATTTAAATAAAAAATATATATTCATTTCACTAATTTCAAAATATTATAAATAAAAATAAATTACATTAATAACAAATCATAATCAAAGAATTAAGTAATTTAAATAAAAATATATATTCATTCAACTAATTTAAAAATATTATAAGTAATAAATTAATTAAATAAATAAAAATTTATAATCAAACAATTAAGTTCTTTAAATAAAAAATATATATTCATTTAATTAATTTCAAATATTATAAATAAAAATAAATTACATTAATAAAAATTATAATCAAATAGTTAAGTAATTTAAATAAAAAATATATATTCATTTAACTAATTTAAAAATATTATAAATAACAAATTAATTAAGTAAATAAAAAATTACAATCAAACAATTAAATAATTTAAAAACAAAATGTATATTTATTTACTTAAATTAAAAAATTATAAATAATAATTTTATATTACCTTCATTATTTTTCAACCTTGTTGCCTCTACTATAAAGTGATTTTCTTCTAATCCTTCACATAAATGGAGAACATGGTCCACTGCTGACCAAGAAGGCGCACATACTTATTATATAACTGGCCACCTTTCTTGGTCGGTTTGGACGGCTCATTGGGCCAGCTTTTTTGTTTTTGGCCTTTGTTTTTAGTTGGACTAGGGTGCTTGTTCAGTTCGTTTTGCATTGGGTTCATTTGCTTTGCATTGCTTTGATAATCCTGTAAAGGCCCAATGCTTCTTATCGTTTTACTTCTGTTTGAATAAAAGTTGTCATTTTATCAAAAAGGAAAAACATTTTACTAAAAGTTGGCGCGTATGAGCACGCGAACCCTCCAAATCCCGCCAGTATTTCCCGCCACAGGCCCTACATAATCATGAGCATCAGATCATCGTATGCATTGCTCATGCGTAGTTCTTGAACATCAAGGTTAATTCGTGTCCCTGTTGAAACCCTACTCTCAGCTATGAATGAAAATCTTGGGGAACAGAACAAGCTTCCTGAGCTCAAATTAGGTATTGTGAAGTCAGTGGAAAGAAAATTCTGCTCAGTTGCTTTTTTGTTATTTATCTTATTTATTTTCTTTGTGCTGCTGTTGAATGAAGATTCTTATTGTTTTTTTTTTTTTTTTTTGCGCTGCTCTATGATTGTTTCTAGACGCTAGCCAAGCCCAGGGATTTCTACATTTTTTCAAAACCCTACCTGATGTAAGTACTTTCATTTCCTTCTTTCTTTTGGTAATCTCTCTCAAAATGGGACTGGCTCTCTATTAGATGGCGGCTGTAGCATTTATGTGAAATTCTATATTCAATTTCCAAAACAGCTTAGGTTCGTCGGAATTTCTGTAGCTCTCTTTTAAAGTCGTTTCTTCGGTAACTTCGGCATAAAAACTATATCCTCAGTGTTTTGCTTTGTTTTTCTCGTGCGTTTTCTCTTAAGTAGGAATCTTACTATGATTAGACTGGTAGTGTTTTGTTACAGTAATAGGGATGAAGCTATTTTTCCCCCCAAAAAAAAAAATCAACGATGATTAGGCATAATGAAAACCTATAGTGCTTCTTTTGCTAGCTTCCTCCATATGTTACGGAATGTATGCGCATAGTTGAGTTTAATTATTTCTTCGTTTCCTCCAGCAATGCCATATAAAATGTAAGACATGTGAGCCTACTGGCGCTAGTAAACAAATTTCTTTTTTTTTCTTTTTAATTCTCTTACATTAATCACTTGATTTTGGCACGTACTGCATTGGTACCAACCATTTGCCATTTGTTCTGTTTATTTACATGTCTGTTACAGGACCCCAGGGCAATTCGGTTCTTTGATCGTCGGGTAAGTTTATGTAATTCATTCATCTTTGCCGTATAGGATTGTTAATACTTAGTAATGATTTGTTTGGTAGATCTCACGCATATCTGAGACTGTTTTAAGGCAGCTTGTGGTCACAGAAGCTTCAGTGTCTTTCTTTTTTGGGCTACGTAATATCTAATTAGTAGTGTTTAATGAGACTCCTTCCATTCCCCTTCCCCTCTTAATCACCCTGCTATCTTTGAATCCTGAAGTTATTTGGGGATGGTTGACCCAACATTATTGTAATGCTTATTCACTATTATTCAAAAGGTGAACTTTTTTAGAAAATGAGTTTGCAATTATAGATGCAATGTATGATGGTTATTCACATGAAAAAAAAGCCTATTTCATGGAAAAAGATTTATTGAATTGATCTGATGAGCAAGCTTTTTACTGCCACATCAGTCTTTTATGTTTTAAAGAGTTCCTGTTCTTTTCTTGTAAATCTCCAATAAGGCTTCAACCCTGGCGTCTAAGTAAGAATAAAAAATCTTTCATAAATTTGTAATATAGTGCAACCTAGGTTGTCTCCCGCTGAGCTAGTGATTAGACATGTGAAATAGGACTTGGGTGACTCTAATTAACACTAAATGGGACCTAAACTAAGGGTGTGTGCCAAACTAAATGCAAACAACAGGACAACTAAACCACTAGAAATCTAAGAAACATGCGAATTGGGTCAGTGCAAACGCAATGAATGGTGCGTAGGGTTGAATTAGACCCAAATGCCACTGAATGAGCTTAGAAACAGGGGGTTTAAAGTGCTGGAATATTCATGAATTAAAAGAGAACAGCAGGAAATTGAATCTAGAGCTAGAGTGATGACAACCAACTAACAATGTGAAGTTGCTAACCTTTGACCCACCTGTGGCTTCAATTATACCTGCTCTAGTTAGATATGCCTAAGACTTGGACCTAATTTCCCCTTCGTTGGTCCATTCATTAAATGAATTCTCAAATGACCAATCTAGATACAAAGTGCCTAACCATTTAGAAGCTTGTGACTGCTACACTTCCAAGTGCTTATAACTTGTATTTAAAAGTTAAAACACACCTGGCATTGAGCTTATATGTTCTTATAGGTTGCTTGACAATCTGCCTGCTATGCTAATTCGCCAATTAAACCTCAAGAATTCTCTATGACAACAATCAAGAACAAGTTCCAGCTACAATCACATAATAACCATTGCACAATTAAACTAAAAATTGCATTAAAGAAGGTGAAATAGTGCACCAATTGAAGAGCAATTTCTCAAATACTTAAGCTTCAAAGCTAAATCTTCAATTCTTGAAAAATTCTAGCAGAAAGTCCAAGAGATTAGACCTATCCAAAATGGCCACTTCAATCAAATTCCAACCAACTAAACCTGATCAATAGAACCTAGAATATGGCAACATCAAAGAAAGAAGAGATGAGAGCATTAGCCTAGTCTTGGTTGAAGTAGCGGGCTCAAATATTGATCAAGTAGTTGTCATCCAACATCAGCCACCAAGAGAGCTTAGCCACTCAAAGACACCAATTATAAAGGAAGAATTGAGAGAGCTATGGTCATGCAAAGAATGGAGATGATGGGGATGGAGAAAAGGGAGCTTGAAGATGATGATGTATATGAGGGTGAGTGAGTGAGTGTCCAATGCTGTTGAGTGTGTGATTTGATTTCCAAATTTGAAAATGAAAAAAAAAAATCCAAATCCAAATCTAGACTAATCCAGTTACCATCTTTGTCCTCATTTTCTTTAACCTCTACTATTGAGTCCTTTGCACGAGATATGTTTTAATCCTGACCTTTGATTTGCTAAAACTGGTGCCACCTCTTCTTGTTGTAAGAATTACATGCACCCTTAGATCTTCAGTTAATCTTAGCTTTTAATCTCTGCCCTTGATTGGGTCGACCTTGCATATTATGTCACACCTTGTTGCTGATTAAAGAGGGAGAAAGGAGAATGATAGAAAAAAATAGAGCAAGACGAGAGAACCAGAAGAGAAATTCTATTCCATTCATTATTTCTCTCATAACCTAATTCCAATCTACCCAATCCGTCATATTTATTAGCCTAGGGATCCATTAACTAACCCCACTAACTGACTCTAACCAACATTTTTCCTTTTATTACAATTATGTATCACACCTCTTGCTTACTTTTATATAATTTCCTTAATCAAAATGAAATAAAATCAATGGACCATGAAATTATAATGTCACTTAGGAAATAAAATCATTAAATGGCACAGTTTATGCAATAAAATTTTGAAATGCACAATTGCAGTTTCAAATCCAAATGGACCCAATTTTATTCAATTAAATCGGATTATTATCAATTCATGCACAAAAAGTGCGTCATAAGTGTAGAAAAATATATAAAATATGTAATTATCAAGCTTCATGGCGAATGTAGTTATGTTTATGCTTTATTAATGGGATATTCCAGTTCTGTTTTCCTTGGATATATGCATCCTTTATGATGATGATCATCAGCGCATTAGATATCTGTTTCAAAATTTTCAGGACTACTATACTGCTCATGGTGAGAATGCTATTTTTATTGCTAAGACCTATTACCATACCACTACTGTATTACGGCAACTGGGTAGCAGATCTGATGCACTATCCAGTGTTAGTGTCAGTAGGAACATGTTTGAAACAATTGCCCGAGATCTACTTCTGGAGAGAACAGACCATACTCTTGAGCTCTATGAAGGAAGTGGCTCTAACTGGAGACTAATCAAAAGCGGAACACCTGGTAATATAAGCAGTTTTGAAGAAATTCTGTTTGCTAGCAGTGAAATGCAAGATTCCCCTGTTGTTGTTGCACTATCACCCAACTTTCGGGAGAATGGATGTACCATTGGGTTGGGATTTGTTGATCTAACTAAGAGAGTACTTGGGATGGGTGAATTTCTTGATGATAGTCACTTTACAAATGTGGAGTCTGCATTGATTGCTCTTGGTTGCAAGGAATGTCTTCTGCCGACAGAGAGTAGCAAATCTAATGAAAATAGGATGTTGTGTGATGCATTGACTAGGTGTGGTGTGATGTTAACAGAGAGAAAGAAATCTGAGTATAAAACCAGGGATCTGGTACAGGACCTTGGCAGGCTTGTTAAAGGTTCAATTGAACCAGTTCGTGATTTAGTGTCTGGGTTTGAATTTGCACCTGGTGCTTTGGGTGCATTACTGTCTTATGCCGAGTTACTTGCAGATGAAAGCAGTTATGGCAATTATACTGTTCAAGGTTACAATCTTGGCCGCTACATGAGGTTAGATTCTGCTGCCATGAAGGCTCTTAATGTCCTGGAAAGCAAAACTGATGCAAACAAAAATTTCAGTCTGTATGGTCTCATGAATAGAACCTGCACAGCTGGAATGGGGAAACGTTTGTTGCACAGGTGGCTTAAACAACCCCTATTAGATGTAAAAGAAATTAATTCTAGGCTGGATGTAGTGCAAGCATTTGTTGAGGATACTGTGCTTTGTCAAGATCTGAGGCAACATCTGAGAAGAATATCAGACATTGAGCAACTGGTGCGAAGCCTTCAAAAGCAAAGAGCTGGTCTGCACCATGTTGTAAAACTTTATCAGGTAAAATTTTTTGCCTTTTCTGGTTGCCATTAAAACATTTTTTCCTGTCGCTAATATGACTATGAATTTTAATTTCTTTGTGGTCTACTTCAAGAAGTTCTAATATTTTTCATGAGCCCGAGCCTTTTCATATTTAACTGTTGAGGTTTTGGCTGATTGCAAATGTTGCAATCCAAAATAAACCATCAACCCACCATTTGGTTTTCATGTTTTTTAAGGTGAGAATTGAGAAGTCATTTGGTACGAGTATTAACCCAATACGGGTGAAACATCATTAAGGAGTTTTTAACTCCATATGTGTATTTGCAGTGGTATGCTCTATAGAGCCGAGGAGCTCAGCTCGAAAAATTCCTCCTCAATAATCGATATTGTAGATTCTTGTTCCTTGTCCATATTAGGTTAATCATATTGCTACTTTGTAATTTTTACTGTGCAGTCTTGTATAAGACTACCTTACATCAAAAGTGCACTGGAAAGATATGATGGACAGTTTTCCTCAGTAATGAAGGAGAGATATTTCAAACCTCTTGAGTTATGGACCAGTGATGATCACCTAAACAAATTCATTGGTCTCGTAGAAGCTGCTGTTGACCTTGATCAACTGGAGAACGGGGAATATATGATTGCTCCAAGTTATGACTCTACATTAACTGATCTGAAGAAAAAACAAGAATCTCAAGAGAGCCTAATACACGACTTGCACAAACAAACTGCAAAGGATCTAGATCTACCAATTGATAAAGCATTAAAGTTAGACAAAAGCACACAATTTGGACATGTCTTCAGAATCACAAAAAAGGAAGAGCCAAAAATTAGGAAGAAGCTCAGCACTGAGTTTATAGTATTGGAGACCAGGAAAGATGGAGTGAAGTTTGTTAACTCGAAGCTTAAGAGACTAGGGGATCAGTATCAGAAGATACTTGAGGAGTACAAGAACTGTCAAAGAGAGTTTGTTAATAGAGTAGTTCGAACTGTTGCAACTTTCTCCGAGGTATTTATTTGTTTATGTTTCTTTCATTTCTTTGTTTGTGCACTTGACTGAAGAATTTTTCATTCTGCAGGTGTTTGAGTCTTTGGCTATATTACTATCTGAATTGGATGTCTTACTAAGCTTTGCTGATTTGGCTTCTAGTTGTCCTACTCCTTACACAAGGCCTGACATCACTTCATCGGTACTTATTTTATGGTTAGCTACAACTTTCACAATATATGCTGTATCCTTTTACTGCTTTGCCCCCTTTATCTTTTGTTTCCTCCACCGTTGTCATCTTGTGTGCAATAGGATGAAGGAGATATTATCTTAGAGGGCAGTAGACACCCTTGTGTTGAGGCTCAAGACTGGGTGAATTTTATACCAAATGATTGCAAGCTCGTAAGTGTTCATGAGATCTTTGGAACCAGAACAAGTTCTTAATTTAATATTGAAGGGGTTCATTGATTTTTTTTTTTTTGGTCACAAATCAGATCAGAGGAAAAAGTTGGTTTCAAATAATAACAGGGCCTAACATGGGTGGAAAATCAACATTTATCCGACAGGTGCTTATCTCTCATACCACTTTAGCTGAGAAGTTAATGGCTATCCTATTTTGCAGTAATATTGATTTGACCATCAACTGTGGTGTCTGGCATGCATCTGTATATTTGGTTCCTCAGTCCTCAGATATAGTTATGAGTTCAAATGCTTACATATATGTTGCCTGAGGCCCAAACATCAGTTAATTTTAATTTTATTTATATGTAGGTGGGTGTGAATATTTTGATGGCACAAGTTGGTTCTTTTGTTCCTTGTGACAAGGCCAGCATATCTGTCCGTGATTGCATTTTTGCTCGTGTTGGTGCAGGTGACTGCCAAGTGAGTCATACCATATTATCCTAAACTTCTAGATAATAAAATACTGGCATAATTTCCTCTGGAATAGCTTGACCTGATAATTATACTTGACTTAAGCAACTAATTGAATAGCTCTAATTTTATCTGTCAGGATTGGATTTTTTTGTTTGAAATGCATAAAATTTGAGTTGTCTTCATATTAATGACTTCAACTTTAATTTGCAATTAACAGAAAAAAGGCATTTTGGAAACTGGTCAAATGTTAGTGACCATCACATAGTGGTAATGCCAGTTGCCAAATTGTCGTTTTTGCTTATATTATTATTCTATCCTTTTAGAAGTTTAGCCGTATGAAATTGCAAGCTTAAGTTTATTTTCTGCTACTTTGCATCCATAAAATGCATTTTTTCTATGAAAACAAAATCTTGCCATTACTGTGATGTTCTGAGAATGCGCATGTTACTATCTGCCCAGCTTCGAGGAGTCTCTACATTTATGCTAGAGATGCTTGAAACTTCATCTATATTAAGAGGAGCTACAGACAAGTCCTTGATAATCATTGACGAGTTGGGACGTGGAACATCAACTTATGATGGATTTGGTTTGTTTCTTTCTTGGAGGGCTCTTAATGTATTGTTACCATTTCTTAAATATGAGTTATTGCCAGAATATGATGGAAAGAATAACTTTGTTAAGATCTGTGTTCAGAAGAGTTTACCAGATAGCAAATACTAGAATCTATACGCAATCTCAAATAAAGAGTAGGAGGATCTCTAAATATGATAGTGTTCAAATCTGACATGTCCCTTCTAGATTAGGAGCTGCAATTTATAAAACTAAAACTGACACCTATAACTGAATTGGGTAAATATAATTACATATAAATAACTGCATAACACTTGTAAACTGCCAGACAAATTCTAAAAACAACCCAAAAGCTTATCCTTCAGCCTTCTCATTTCTATTTAGTAGTATGGTATGCTTGTGTCTACAAGTTCAAGTGTGAATAATAGGATGAGTCTTATGAAACATCAATTCTTCTTCTTTTTCAATGGATGATTCTTATGAATAATAGCATTACGTAAAGTTTTTGGTGGTATGCAGGTTTGGCCTGGGCCATTTGTGAGCACATTGTGGAACTGATCAAGGCACCTACTTTGTTTGCAACCCATTTTCATGAACTGACTGCTTTAGCATATGAACGAGAAAATGATGATCCACAGAGGAAAACTGTTGGTGTGGCAAACTATCATGTCAGTGCACATATTGACTCATCAACTCGCAAGCTGACTATGCTATACAAGGTAAATGTATTCCTTAAATTCTATGCATATCCTGTGTGCCTTTATTGCATTTTTTGTGTAGTGTTCTTTCATTGAACTGCATTATCTTAATTGGTAAGCTTATTCATTTTCAGAGGGTAAAAATAGAAGTGGGAATTCGTTTGGTAGGACTGATGTTGTGTTTAAAATAGTCTGAAGGGGAAGAGAGAAGGAACGGGACCTTTGCAAGCCTGAAGAGGACCTTATTGCGTTTTATCTTACACTTAATATTGTCTTGAGTGAATTAATATTTACCATTCACCTGGGTAAAACCTCCTTTGAGCTTGAAATGCTGTAAGACCAGAACTGGCATTGTATGGTATTATTTTGATCTAATGGTTGGAATTTTGAGATTATCTTTTAGCACTTATTGGAGATATACTTTTAACATATACCTCTGTGGACAAGTTGGTGGCTCAATGTGGGCCCATTATTTTATTTCCTTTTCTTCCATTTTCCTGTAGTTAGTTTTTTTTGGCCCCAATATTGTGGCTTGAACATTGGTCTCTACTGTTGCAACTCCTTTGAGTATTTTACACGAGCTCAGCTTCAAGTAGAATGCCATAAACCATGTTTTGGTTTTGTAGAAACCCATAAATTGATACGTCTAATAATCCGTTAATCAACAAGTTTAGAACTATGTATTGGGAAGAGGTAGGAACGAAATTAATTGTTGATAAGCGTAATTGACTTATGGGCCAAAATAGGGGCCTTTCAGTCTCCAACAGGATCCATCAAGATCATAAGCAGATTAAGGATCGTGATTTACGGAATACAAGATGAGTATGTGAGAGAAATTTGTTGCAGCTTAAGTGAAACATGTTTTTGAGTACTTATAATTGCCAACCCAAACAAGCCCTAAGTAATTCTCCATCCCCTCCTATGTAATTTGTGTGGAGAAAAAGCAATATTATTTTACTCTAATTTTTCATTAGAAGTTTGCCCCAATGTGACAATCCAATCATATGAGTCTAAAAGCTTCCACAAGTTGAATGATGCTTAAAAGGCATTCATTGATTGTGCACTGCATCCATTGAAAGCAGTTGGCACATTAGCTGGTCATAATTTTGGCAGTGATAGTATATCATCTTAAGAAACTTGAACTCACACTGTTTATAACTGTAGCGCACTTGTTAAAAACGATCTGCATTTGCATGAAGCCAGCTCATGCCCTATCATGTGATTCCCTTTTCTAGGTTGAACCAGGAGCTTGTGATCAAAGTTTTGGTATTCATGTTGCTGAGTTTGCAAATTTCCCAGAAAGGGTCATCACTCTGGCTCGAGAAAAAGCAGCAGAATTGGAAGATTTTTCTCCGTCTGCAATATGCTTCGTTGATGCTGCACAGGAGGTATATTTTGCAATGTTTAATTGTGGTTCATATGGTCAGGTATCAACATTGTAGACTTGCAAGCGTTGTGTTGGTGGCTAGGTGCCATTCTAGTCCTCTCTGTAGAACAGAAGCCGTCTACTTCTCTTATTGATTGACTACGGTTTACATCATGATGTATACAGCTGAGGGAATGTGAATCCCCCGAAAGTAGGAGAAAATCAGGGAAAATAAATTCCTATGATATACAATGAATCTGCCTGATATATCCTCTCCTATGATCAATAAAATGTTAAACTAAATATTTTCTATTTACAACATATAGTTAGTCAGCCCAAACACACTATCCATGTTTTGCAAAAAAATTTTTTGAGAGAATGACAATTAAGGACCTTGTACAAAAATTAGTGTAAAATGAGGACCCATACGCCTGAAATTTTGAAATTTACAACTCCAACTTCTATATTTACAACACGAAAGTCCTTATATTATATTAGTCTTCTTCATACAAGATCCTTAATTGTCATTCTGTTTATTTCCTTTTCTAAATCAAGTTTCATGTTGATGGGTATTCAAGTGGGATAAGAAACTCTCCCCAAAGCTAGCTATTAAGATGGGAGAACCCACTTGTAATGAGCATCATATATTACTCAATGTGGGACATGAGCATCTCATACTACCTAAATCTCCATCAATTGGATCTTCTCGGAGGGTGGATGTCCTAGCAGCCATACTCTCTACCATTCAAAAAATTCTGTATGCAGGCATCCCGTACTGCCTAAGCTTCCATCGCGTGTTCCTAAGTTTCTTCGTAAATAAGGAGTTTTAATTGGTTCTTTAGATTCTGGTGATAATAGTGACAGGATTTGGATAAACTTATTCAAGATATTAGCTTGCTAATGTATGAAAATGCTAAAAGCATTCATAATATATAAATTACTAGAAGAAATTTGTTCCTTGGAAGATTGAATCCGTACTTTATACATTGCATGGGAGATGTCTCTAGTTGTTTCGTTCAACTTGATAGACTCAACACAGCTCCTTGTATTCTAATTTTTAACGATATAACTGTCTCGTGTACCTTGCTCCTTGCTGAGCTATTTTTCCTTTTATGTTCTTTTGACCATCTCAGTGTGTTCAGTATCATCTGGTTAAGATGTTGGAAGTTGTTGTCTGGCTAGTCTCTTCTGGGGCCTTTCTATTTAGTTATTTCTCTATTCTTTGATATTTGATACTCCTCCGGTCCTTAATATAGGATCCAATTCTTGAGTTGGTTTTGGTCTTAAATATAAGACCCCTTTCTCATATTTATCAATTTTCTCTAAATTACCCCTATGAATACTCCCTCAACCATAATCAAGTAAAAGAGGGAGAGGGAGTATTAAGAAAGATGATTATGGTGTTTTAGGAAAAATGTGTCACTTTTCTTATAATTAACCAACTTACCTAACTTCCTTAATCTAATCAAATTAGTTAAATGGGTCTTATATTAAGGACCGGAGGAGTATTTGATTATTTCATATATTCACCGTTTACTGAAGTATTCAATTTTCCCTACAAAAATGAAATGATAATGATTTTTGTACTTTTAAAGAATGCATCTTTCGTTGACCAAAAGAAAAAAAAACAAAAGAATGCATGGTTTTAATTTTGTAGATATAATTTGCAGGTGGGCGCTAAAAGGAAGAGAGAGTTTGAGCTTGATGCGGTCTATAAAGGGGCAGCAAGGGCTAGGCAGTTTCTTGAAGCTTTTGCTGCTTTGCCATTGGGAACTATGGATAAAATACAAGCTCTGCAGGAAATAAGAAAGTTGGTGGATGATTTAGAGAATGACGCAAAAAACTGTTACTGGCTGCAGCAATTCTTGCAGCAAGTTTGAACAATGAGAGTTTTCTGGTAGCCCTTTTTATGATGTGAATTTTGTAGTGCCTGATGCAGTACATGATCTGTTGATGAGCCTAATGCATTCTAGTGCGGATGACGTTTAGAATTTTAGTACCTGTTCTATGGTATTTGTTACCTTGTTCTTCGATAAAATCATGGCACTCTGGTATTTGCAACCGAACTTCACAGAAGTCTTCTCCTGTGTTTTTTGGCTGCATTTCTGTGTGGATTTTGTGGGCGTGCGCGGAGCTTTCTGGCGCAGCCTGGGCGTCAGCTGAGAGATGTATTCTGTTTAGCTTGGTGATTTTATAGTATCGTCATAGTTTTTCTTTTCTTAAAAAGGTGTTCACTTATTTCAATTATTTCAAAAGGAATTTGGCGGTGTATGTCGTCTGTTTGGCTCAGGAAGGAAGTGAGAGGAATTTTTAATATTACCTCGTTTAAATTGATTAGAAGGCTGGAAAGGAGAGAGAAGGGATTTTAATAGTAGTATTACAGATTTTAAATATAAAAACTTTAATTTGGTTTTAAACATGAAATTTTAATTCATTTTATGTCTCATATTTATTTATTTATTTTCAAAGTACTTATTATGGTAATTACACATTAAAAGTCTTTTTATTCTAATACATATGATTAATAAAGATATTTTAAATAATAATATTTATTACAAATAATTTATTTAACTAATTTTTTTATTGGTTTAGAACAGAATATATTTCATATAAGTCGAAACAAATTTTTTTTCCACATACTTATCTCATATTCTATAAATCATAATTAAAAAGTTGTTTATAAATTATTCGAAACGGGCTCAAGGGTTAATAAGCTATATCGAGGCCAACTTGAAATTAAACTGATCATATTAAAATAATATAACTTAATTGAAAATAACAAAATATAATAATATTAATAATCACTCATTATAAAATAAACAGGCAAAATACTAAAATGTCTATTATATAGGGTGTGTTTGGAATTACATTTGGACTTTTAAACTGACTTTTCTACCGGCAAAAAGAGCTTTTTTTATTTAGGATGTATTTGGAATCACATTTTTGCAATTTGACTTCTGTTACTGAAACGGACTTATACAATAAGCTTAAAAAAGCTGCTTTTATCCGATTGAAAAAAAAAGTTACTTCTCCACCACTAATCCAAACACACCCATAGTACTTTTTTGGGGGGCATTTTGCCTGCCAATAGCCCACAGAAATGTGAAATTTCACCGCACTTTTTTGAAGGTAAAATGAAATTAATTTCTGAAGCAAAATGACCTTAAATAATCTTTCATTCACAAGAAGGGAGTTTATCATAAAAGTAAGAAGATTCACAAGATATACAAAGGATCTTACAACGCAAATAACAAGCGAAAGAAGGGTGTTTACAATGAAGTAAGGCATTTACAAATAAAATAAGCATTCATAAGAAATTAAGAAGTTTTCAACGGAAGTAAAACTATTTACAAGACACACAAGAACTTTTACAAAATAAACAAGGTCATTCACAAGAAACATAAATTACATCTAACTAAACTTAAGTATTGTCAAGCAAAATAAGAGTATTCACAAATAGAATAAGGAATTTTACAATGAAAATAGGTCATTCACCTTTAAAATGAGCATTTAGGTTTTTTTAATTCCAGAAATTAATTTCATTTTTCTTTTAAAAGGTATAGTGAAATTTCATATTTCCATGCTATTAAAAATAAATTTGCTGTAGTGGCAGCAACCTCAATGTCTCTCTATCTGTATCAGTATTCTTTTTCTTTTTTTTTTTCCTCCTTCTCTTTTGTCTTCTCTCTTTTTCCTTCATTCATTTTTAATGGATGGATTACTTCCCCTCTATCTTTGATATTTTTCGGTCTCTCCATCCCTGTTTGTCACAACCTGTGCTTTCACTGCAAGTTGTTTTAGCACCTCCTTTTCTACTCCTCCGATCCTTAATATAAAACCTATTTAACTAATTTGATTAGATTAAAGAAGTTAGGTAAGTTAGTTAATTATAAAAATGTGATATGCTTTTTCTAAAACACCATAATTATCTTTCTTAATGCCTCCTCTCCCTCCTCTACTTGATTATGGTTGAGGGAGTATTTATAGGGGTAGTTTAGAGAAAATTAATAAATATAAGTAGTGGGTCTTATAGTTAGGACTAAAACCAATTCAATAATTGGGTCCTATATTAAAGACTGGAGGAGTATTTTCTTTCTTTTCTTCCTCTCCTTCTCATATGGGAAAATTACATTAAGATTTTACTTAAATGCAAAAAAATCTCTTAAAATCATCAAATTAACCTGAAGACTCAAAGAATCTCATTGCAAGAGATTCCACTAGTTCAATTACTAAATTGCTCTTATTTTTTCAAACACGCATTGACAACTGAAAAGACAGTTGTATCTTAAGTTATTAACAACATATTTTTCTCAACTCATCACAAATATTAAATGCAAGGGTTGTTAATAATTGTCATGATAATTGCTAATCATTGCACCTTAAATTGTTAATAGTTACCCTTTTAGTTGTCAATGCGTATTTAAAAAAAAGACACGCAATTTAATAATTGAACAAGTAGAATCTCTTGCAATGAAATTCCTTAGACGAGTTATTATCGGGTTATACCAATTCAAAATTTTCTTTAATTTAGAAAATGAACTAGATTGTACAAATGGCCAATTCACTGATTGTCCCATTTTTCAAACATCAATAGCCATAACCAGAGTGGTTCACATTTTGGTTAGAGTTGATTTCAATCCATGCTTCACACATTTAACAAACTAGAAAGTTGAGTTTTTTTTTCTTGTTACACAACTTAAAAAGCTGGTTTAAAAAATTAATTTGAAATTTTGAAGTAAATTAAAAATTAAAATCATGTAAAAAAGATCAACTAAAACAATTATTATTCATGATGAATGAATAGTTTAAAAAGTGTGTATATATATGTATATATCAAGCTCCATATTTCAAGGAATTTTTTTATATGACTCAATTTGTATATTTTTGAAGAAATGAAATATTTCATTTATATATTATAAGAGAAGTATTCCCTCCATTTCTAATTATACTACATAATTTTTATGATTGTTTGTTTGACAAACCTCCTAAGTGTAATTAAATTTTGCGCTACTTTTTTTATATACTTATCTTAAACAGCAAAAAATTATTTAAAATAAACTTACTCTCAAACATCCTAAATGTAATTAAATTTGTTCTTAAAATATCGATACTAATGGCTCACATGCTTGACAAATTCTTGAAATGACATTTAGTTAGAAGTAAAATTAAATTATAGTATCTTATAACAAAACTTAAAAAAAAAAAAAAGTAGTTTAAGGCATACTCCTGTGATCCTATTTATAAAATATGTAGTAAAATTTTTTTATCCTATTTATAAGTCACATATGAATATATAATTTTACTTTTTACTTATTATTATGTCAACTTTGTTCTCATCGAGGATAATACATATTAGATAAAGATAAAATTAAAAAATTATTAAATTTTAAGACTTTTTTTAGTTTTGGTAAAACATGTTGAAAACAACTTATAAATAGGATCAGATGAGTATCAATCATTATAGGAATACGTACATTTGCTCTTGAAATTGCAAGAAGAATGCATGTATTAACAAAAAGAAAAAAAAAGATATTTATGATTCATGGCCTTTTTCTAAATTAAAATATCACCACTAAAATTGTCAAATTCAATACCATCTCCCAATATAAGATATAATTAACTAATTTAAATATATTAAAAAAATTAATTAATTTAGTTATTTGTAACAAATATAATTGATTTCCTAAAATACACCTTTTAATCATGACTATTTTTAAATAGAAATTTCTTGACGCATATAATAAATAGGGACATTTTAGAGAATGAATTATAAATTTTAAGGGATAAAATAAATTGAGTTGTAAGGACTAAATTTAATTCCCAACTAACTCTTATATTAATTATAAGAGGTGGTATTAAAGTGAATTGACGGGCCTTGCCTGGGTTCTTTTTTCCCACACGCGACCCGCCTCGCGAAGCATTACACAAAGTTTTCAAATAAGTGGCATGCAATTTATTATACTACCTCCAGTCCTAATTATAAGAGTTAGTTGACTAATTTGAGGAGATTAAAAAAAAATTAAGTAAGTTATTTGTAATAAATATGTATTGTTTTTTCTAAAACATTATTGCTAATCAAGTGTATTGATTAGAACTACTATTGTTCAAAGGACTACCTTAACAAAAAATACATAAATATAAGAAATAAAATGGATTGGGGTCTTATATTTAGGACCAAAATAAAATTTAAATAAAATCTTATATTAAGAACCGGAGGTAGTATATACATAAGTTTTAACTCGATAAATTTTTACTTAGATTAGTTTGTCATATGTTTTGTTATGCGGCTAATTTTAAATGATTCAAAAATTTGATAATTATTATTTTTAAGGGTCTGTTTGAATTAGTAATTGGAAAAGTAACTTATTATCAATTTGACTTATAGAAAAGTAAAGCTGAGTAAAAACTAAATTGGATAAGCTGAATTGTGCTTGGATTGGAGTTCACAAAAGTTAGTTTGTAAAAGTGATATTGATAAAAGATTATTTGAATTATGGTTGAGTAAAAGTAAGTTTAGTTATAAAATAACCAAAATATGTATGATTTTTAATAAATAATGAAACATGATTAAAAAAATAATTTCACATAATATAATGAAAATAAAATAATTTAATATGAAAAAATCAAATTTAATAAGTAAATTAAATTTTAAAACTTTAAAAAAATTATTAAAAAATTTTAAATATAAAGTGAAACATGAAAAAAAATAAATTGATATAATATAATTAATTTAAATTAATTTAATATAAAGAAGTAAATTTAACGAGTAAATTAAATCTAAAAACATGTAGAAATAATATAAAAAAAAATGTTTCGGCGGCCTCTTACTCCCCTCCCTGTTTTGCGCCGATTCCATTAGTCCAGTTGCCTTCTTTTCAATTCTTTCCCTTCCGCGAACTCATCTCTCTCTTGGTGCACCAACCCAATTGCTGTCTTCATTCCCTCCGCCAAACAAGTTCCTGTTGAGGTGCTGCCATCACTCGATCACCGGCACACCGGCCATCAGCGCCGCCTCCAACGCTGAGTTCTCCCCGCATTGAGTCGCAAACCCACCTACCAACTCTGTTCAGCACCTC